AAAATCAGAAGCAGCGAAGCAAAACATTAGAGGGTGCCGGAGGCCGCAGTCCCCTGGGGACCCCCCGAGCAGCTGGAGGGGTGCAGCAGCACCCACCCACCCACCCCACACTCCTTGCGGGGGGTTACAGGGGTGGCGGCAGGGCTGGGGTTGCTCCGGTTTATCTCCCCCGTGGCGTAAGCGCAGCCTTGAGCAGGCTGGAGAGCAGGCAGGGATGCGCCAAGCCAAGGCTGTGGCCGTGAAAGCGTCCCAGCCGTCCCCCAAATCCCAGCCCCGGGCCGGAGTCTGGCCGTGAGGAGCCAAAAGCTCTTGCCGGGCTGTCGGGGGATGTTCCCCCCCTCAAATCGGGGCCGGCTGGGTGTCACCCAGGATCGGGCTCTTCACGCCCGGGACTCGAGCGGCCGTAAAGTCAAGTAGATGGGTTTGTCCGGGATGAGGATGAGATCGAATTTAGTCCCGACTTCCACCGCTCTCATGGTTTCGATCTTGAAGTTCTCCAGGATCTGGGGTGGAGGAGAAAAGAGCCGATGGGAAACGCTGGAGGTACCAACAGCCACCCCCCACCCCGCCCCGGTCCCTTCCAGCACCGGTGTCCCCAGTGTCCCCCAGCAGTGGGCTGCTCACCTGCATGAGGAAGAGCTGCATCTCCAGCTCGGCGATGCGGCGGCCCAGGCACTGCCGGGGTCCGAAACCGAACCCCAACCCCTTGAAGTGCTTGGGGCCGGCTGCCAGCCAGCGCTGGGGGCTGAACTGCTCCGGTTTGGGGAACACCTCAGGATCCCGGCCCATGGCGTAGAGCCCGACCTGCACCAGCGTCTGTGGGGAAGGATCAGGCCCCCCCACCCCCCGACCCCGGCCCCGCGCCGTGGGGCTGGGCTCCCCACCCCGCTTCGCCAGTGCGCGGGGTGCGGGAACTGGGGGGGGGGGGGGGGGGGGGTGTGTGTGCAAAGGATCCCGAGCCCTGTGGCTGCTCCCTTCCCCGTGTCACCCACCCACCCACGCTCCAGGTCCTACCTCCACCCAGAGCCCCACGCAAAGCGGGTCGGGGTAAGGAGGGACCCGGTGGCCGTGCTCACCTTGGGGGGGATGCGGTAGTCCTGGAGGATGACCTCCTGCGTGGTGTATCTCTGCAGGGTCACCGCCACGGGGTGCAGCCTGAGGGTGGGGGGGTGGGGGGGTGGGGTGGGACAGGTCCCACACACACGATTTTGGGAACAGCCCATGCACGACATCCCAACAGCGCCAGCGATCTGAGGAGGGAAAGGCCTGGGGAGGGGCGGGGGGGGGGGTGGGGGGGGGGTGCTGTGTTGTGTTTCACCGGGGGCTCCTCCTCACCTGAGCGTCTCCTTGATGGCGGCTTTGAGCAGCCGGAGGGTTTTCAGCATCTTCACCCTGTCCCCCGCCGCCTCCCGCTTGGCAGCCAGGACCTCTGCCCGCAGCTGCTCCTGGACCCCCGGGGACCGTGCCAGCTCGAACATGGCCCACTGCAGCGTCATGGAGGTCTGGAGCGGGGCAGGAGAGCAAGGCTCAACCCCAGCCAGCACCTTCTCCCTGCCCAACCACCCTGCCCGCTCCTTACCGTGTCCACCCCGCCCGCCATCATCTCGGTGACGCTGGCCTTGATGTCATCCAAGGGCAGCTTGTCCTGCATGATGAGGTTGCAGAGGATGCCCATGTACTCCTTGGTGCTCTTGCGCTGCAGCCGCAGGTCCCGGTAGACGTTTTGGATGCATTTGTCGGCTGAGGAGACACAGAGGCACTGCGTGGCCTTCCTCCCCCGGGGGCTGTGGTGGAGGAGGACGGCACCCAGATGTGGCGCTTTAGCTCGTCGTTGCCCCAGGCCGGTGGCTTTTCCATGGGAGCTGCCCCCCCTCGGGACTGCAATCCCTGCTGCAGGACCCAGCAGTGGCTGGGTGGGCACAGAGGGTGGGGGGTGAGGGTGGCCCAGGGTGAGGAGCGGGGGGACACCCTGCAGGAGTGTTGTCCCAGGTGCCAAAAGCTCTCTGAGGCCCTCTGGGAGAGTTGCTCCCTTCAACGTGATGCCCATCATCGCTCCTGGATGGTTCCCCACTGCTCCATCCCAACAAGCTCCAGATGTGGAAAGCCTTCCTGGCCTTGGTGTCCCTGAGTTGGGTGGTTGGACCCAGGAGAAGGTCTCCACGCCAGTGAGATGAAGCTGCACTATGGAGCCAAGCCCTCACAGGGACCTCGGGTGACACAGGGAGGTGCGGGCAGGAGGAGCGCTCACCCTGGGAGAAGATGTCATCCCAGGCCTGGACATGGTCCTGCCACATCTTGGCGTTGAGGTGGCGGAGGAGGGCGGGCGGCACGTAGAGCATGGGCGAGGTGGTGTGGAACATCAGGGTCACGGCGTCGATGAAGCGCTGCGACTCGGGGTCCACGAAGTCCTGCAGCAGCCCCAGGCGCTCCCCGTACAGCACGTGGCACACAGCTGCGAGCACAGCACCCATGGGGGGACCCGGCCGGGGGGGGGACCCTCTTCCCTTCCCCTCCACCCTCCCATGGCCAACTCCAGCCTTTCCGTGGCTACGGGGACCTGGTTCGGCCTCCTGCTCCCTCGGAGCATCACCAGGCCATGAAGGCAGCCCTCGTTGGGTACAGTTGGCTACCAGTTGATGACCGGTAGATGATAAAGCAGTGTTTTATCAAGTGTTGAGGTGTTTACTTCTCTGGAGAGAGTCCCTCCCTCTAGAACCTGTGGCTTTTGGGGGAGAAGCTTCTTTGCCCATCTCTGACGATGAAGCTGGGGGAAGCGCAGCGTGTTGCCCACCTCGGGCACCCTGCAAAGAGGTTTTTTGGGCAGGGCCGGGGGGGATATGTCCCACAGAGACTCACGCCCCTGACACTCACACTCCAGGGCGAAGCGGAAGAGCTCGTGGGTGAAGTCGGCCGTCCAGCGCTCCCGGCCGCTCTTCCCCACCTGGGCTCGTGCCCGCCGGACAAAGTCCTCGCCCACCTCGCTCAGCAAAGGCACGAAACCCTCCACCACCTGCGGCGACAGCACCTCCTTGTTCAGCATCAGGCGGTCCGAGCGCCAGGCCTCCCCCTTCCTGCAGGACACCAAAGTTGGGGGGGGGGGAGGGGGGGGATGTCAGAAGCATCCCCCCCCCCCCCATCCACTCCCTCCCCAGAGAACACCAACCCCAAATCACAGGGCCAGCCGACGTCCCCATCACCCTCCTGATGCTCCAGCTTCTCCCCCATCCCACATGCTGGGGCTATTGCGATAGGACCTGGGAGCCCCATTTTGAGGGGACCCCCCCCCCCCCGGCCCCCCCGACTCACTTGAGGAGCACACCGTAGGGCTTGTTGCGGTAGTCGCGGTAAGCCACCCAGGGGGGCACGCTGAAGCGCTCCGGCAGCGTCCCCTCCGCCTGGAAGAGGGTAGCAGCATCCTGGGGGCTGATGATGTTCACACTCTCGTAGACACCCAGCTTCTCCCTGCCGGGGTGCAAGGGTGGGGAGGGAGGGGGGGGGGGGTGTCAGCCCTGCACCCTGACCCCCATCCCCACAGCCTCGCACCTCGCCAGATCCGCCGCCTCCTCCCAGCACCCCCCGAATCAACCACCCTCCCCCTCACACCCTGTAAAATCCTGCCTGCAGGTCCCATCCCCGGGGGATGAAGCAGCTCAGCACCAGGATCAGGCCCCCAGGGCTCAGGCAGGCACAGTGGGGAGTGCTGGACCTGGACACCCCCCCCTCCTCAGCTTCCCCCTCTGCCTGGGGATGTCAGGTCCAAATTGGGGGGGGGGGGGGGGGGGGGGGGGGCGGGGAAGAGCCCCTCTCCAGCCCCATCACCCACACCAACCTGCATCCAGAAGGCATGAGCGGATTTCCCCTCTCGCCCCTCACCGTGGCATCAAGCCCGGCCAGCACACAGCAAGCCGGGCTGCTCCGGCAGCTCACCCACATATTTACCCCCCTCCCTCTCACCCCGGAGCAGGGCCGGGAATAACAGCAGCATCTCAGACTGGAAAAGCTGCTGGAACTGGGGAGCAGGGGGAGGGAGGGGGGGTGGGAATACCGGGACCAGACGCTGCCTCACCTGTAAATGGGCCCAAACTGCTGGAACTTGCGAGCCATGATGTGGTGGACGTTGTGAAAGCCACCCTCCTGCCAGAAGCGGTAGAGGTTGAGCCAGCCGGCCCGCCAGTCACCCGGCAACTGGTTGAAGGGTCGAGGAGCTGGCGGGATGGGGGTGGCAGCCCCCCCAGCCCAGCGGCATCCCCCGCCTCGGGCAGGGGGACGTCCCCGCAAGGCGCCTGGTTTGGGCGCAGCCCGGGCGAGCATGGGAGCGAGGTGGGAGAGGGAGGCGAGGGTGGCCTCGCTCTTATCCCCCCTCCCCGGCTGGCCTCGCTCAAGGCGAGAGCCTCTCGCCCGCCTCCCGATGAGTCACGGCCGCCCCAGGGACGGGGACAAGGCGCAGGGCACCTCGCCCCCAGCCAAAAAAAAAGGCAGCCGTGGGGCCGTGGGGCAGCCCCAAGGGGTTTGCAGAGCATCGGCTCCCCCCACCACCACCCCCCCCTCCCAGCAGTGCCAACGTGGGGTTGCACAGATCTTGGGTGACAAGGGGTGACGCTGGCAGGTGGCCTGTGCCACCCCAGTATAAGTTGGGGCACTGAAAAGGAAAACCCAGCTGCCGGGGGCGGGAAATGTTTTGTCTGCAAAATAAATGGTAAAAAATCATCTAGGGGACAAAATAGTGTGGGTTAGACTTAATAAAGCTCAGGCCTGATGGGTCACCGCAGGAGGGGACAGCCTTGGGGACTGCCTGGCCGCTGACAGGGGTGTCTCACCTCCACCCTCCCCAGGGCAGAGGGTGCTGGGGGTCGCAGGTCCCCCCTTCCCGGGCTCTCCTGCCTCCAAGCATCAGCTGCCAGTTAGTGCAGAAACTCCAAACACGCTCCCCTCTGCCAGGAGGGAGAGGCTTTTTGGGGTGTCATGGCCCCCACGGAGCTGGGGACAAAGGTCTCCACCTC